CCCCTCCCCTGAATTTTACCACATTTTCAGATTTTACCACATTTTCACTTTGTTCTTTACTTTTTTATTTTGATTTTTTTGGCTTCTGATTTACCACTACCTGCCATCTGGCAATGTAGCTTTAAGCGCTAGTTCTACCAGGAAGACCTAATGGTACATCTCTCATTACAATTATTTCCAACCAATTGCCAAGAGACACAGGGAATATAAAAGCTGTCAGTTTCATTTCATTCATTTGGTTGCAGGTACCAATGCAGACATTCACCCACCATCTTACCCACCACCATCAAGTTGGCCCTGTCCAGGAGGGTAGGCTCCGCCCCAGCCTTTGTCCTCGGCAGTCATAGCTGGATCTAAAAGCTTCGAAATCAAGCTATGGACGGGGCCTTCACCAAAGAAATCCTATGTTTTGTTAAAAGATTCTTTTGTCAAATAATACTCATCAGTAAATGTAATTCAATATCATAATTATCTCCTTGGTCTTTTTGGTTGAACCGTTCTTCACCGGACTCAAACCTCGACGTCACGGTCAACTTCTCTCTGCGTATCAAGTACAAACTGGTAACAGCAGGAAAGCTGTCCATACGGAAGTAAGTGGTCAGCTGGTAGCGTGAAAAGAACGGTGTCTTACTGCCCCGTAGCGTCATTTTAAGGACAAGATGCAGCCATACGTACTTCTGTCTACATAATTTGCAATCTCCAGAAATGTACGCTTTCAGAATGTGCCTATGTTGCAACCACTCACTCTTAGCTTACCATGGGTCTCCAGCAGCATGATGGTCATCTACTAATTCAGAGCCTTCATGGTCAACTTCACTATGGTCTTTTCCTTCACAATGGTCACTATAGTCATCTAACCCTTGGATCTAAAAAGCTTCTGTTATACCTTAATCCTGATTTATATTTCTGCGTCAGGTGACCGGCGCATGCAACGCGCGTGGCTGTGCATTTATACTTCTGCGCACTGTCTCTGTCGGTCTGCATTAACACTTCCGAAACGCTAGTTGACAGTGAGGTGTAAATGTTCCTCTGTGTCGAGTTTCTTTGCTGCTTTTTTGCTTTTCCTGAACACTACCGGGATGTACAAGTGGCTCAAACTTGCTCATTTTGAGGCAGGAACCGGCGGACGCGCGACAACTTTAACTATGAGGTAAACACAAAACAAAACTTTCCATCCGGAGCTCCTTCGGGGGACTCCACAATTGTAAACAATCGCCCGCGCCATTCGCGCGGCTCTCGGTCCCGCCCAGACTCGTCAGCGCTACTAAGCCGACCAATCACAGAGCTTACGCTACGCGTCGTTGCGACGTGTAGTTACATTTTTTGAGAGGTGCACGTCAGTGACGGCGACGGCCACGGCGAAGGGCTGTGCATCAGCACCGTAGCATACACCGGTGTTTGACGCAGAAGTATAAATCAGCCTTTAGTCCTCTGAGCCAGCAATGTTTGTGGTTTGGACCTCTTTTTGATCCTCTAAAAGCTCCACTGGTGTCTTTTCTTCTGTCTTTACTAGAGTTTTTTCCTTCTTCTCTGCCAGCTCCCTCAAAATCCCCTAAACTTGGACAGTTATTTTCTGTATGCCGCCAAATAGGACCTAATAGCTGGTAATGTCACATTTAATTTGTGTTTTGGTGCTCTGAGTTCAGTTTTGTTATCTGTCCTTGGTTGCCTTGGTTATTGATTAGTTAATTGTCCTTGTTTTTTCTCTCAGCGTGTGTGTGTGTGTGTGTGTGTGTGTGTGTGTGTGTGTGTAAATATAGCCCTCATTTTTTTGTTCCTGTCAATGTATTGGTTTCCGTCTCTCCTGCTGTTTTCATAAGTTCCTGTGTTGCACTGCTTTGTTTGTGTAATTAAAATAGCATTTGCACATACTATAGATCCTTATCTTACACTTGCTTACTTGCAATCACCATAGGAAAAATATTTTAAATTAAATATATATTCAATAGCCATACATTCAATATCCTTAGTTATATATTTATCCATATATTTAACGCATTTAGTTATATATTTATTAGAAGATATACTGTACACAACCTGACAAAAGTCTTGTTGTCGATCCCAGTTGTAAGAAAAACAAGTAATAACTTTACTTCTAGTTGATCATTTGGAAAAGTGGCAGAAGGTAGAATGCAACAGTTGAACTGCATCCCAATCATCACACATACTTCAGAAGACCTATTGGAACTCGCATGAACCCAATATTCTCACAGAAATCCATCAAGTTTGGTAAAAAGTAGGGTTGAAAAAAGCGGAGGGTTGCGAGCGATTTGCAGAGTGGATGGTTCGGTATCGGTTCAGTAATAATCATAACCGGTTATTACTGATGTCATTTACCTTATATGCGCTCTGTTGCGAGTGCGAGTATTTACAACGCTCTAACTGCTTAAAACTCATAAACTGTGCACAATTTCACTGTGTGTGTTTGCTGGATCAGTCTTTCACTGACATAGACAGCAAAATTTCATGGAGATCGAGAGAATGTAAGTACTCCATTTCTCTCTCTCTCTCTCTCTCTCTCTCTCTCTCACACACACACACACACACGCACACACACACACACACACACACACACACAGTGGCCTATTTGACCTGCTGGCGTGACTTTTCTTCTCCTCTCGACTGTTTTACAGCGTTACTTCTGGATACAGAAACGAGCGCGTGTCTGCAGAGTTTTTTCCACCGTGTCTATCATGCATCAGTCGCTTATTAGTATTTTATACCGCTTTTGTTGAGAGTATGACCAATTAAAGGGGTGTAAGAGAACTAGACAAGGATCAGAAAGTGAGCTGGATATTTATATTTGTTTATATTATTTGCTAAATTCTCGTGTTGTTTAAAGGTACAGTTTATATATCTGACTGTATTAAATGACAAAATTGTATTACAAATAGTATATAAATATAATTATATTTATACATTTTAATACAAGAACTGCTGCTGTAAAGAAAGTATAAAACTGGGTATGAAAAGCACCGTCAATGCACCATGATGCACCGAAATATCGAATTGAACCGAATCGATGGCATGATTATCATAACCGAACTGAACCGTGAGAGGTTCACAGCTCTAGTGGATGGCAACATCAACAGCCTGTAGTATCAAGACATTTGTGCTGCCCATTACATTTCAAATCACAAAAGACAAATTCTTCAAAAATTCAAGGATAGTGCTCATTCTCATACTTCGGCCTCCACATCAATGTTCCTGAAAGTAAAAAAGGTCAAGGTGCTCCAGTATTGGCCAGCCCAGTCACCATACATGAACAGTATTGAGCATATCTGGGTTAAGTTGAAGAAGGAGGCACTGAAGATAAATCCAAAGTATCTTGATGAACTCTGGGAGTCCTGCAAGAACGATGTATTTGCCATTCTAGATGACTTTATTAATAAGTTATTTGAGTTATTGAAGAGATGCATGAATGCAGTCGTCCAAGCTCATGGAAGTCATCCACAATATTAATACATTTTCCACTGCAACATGACTTTATATTCTATACTGTACATTATTTCTGTTAAGTGACAAGACTTTTGTCTAAGCAAAGTCAGATCTTGCTGTCCTAATTAAATCATTGAATAATTAAAAATCAAGGCATGATCATATTGTATTTTGATAAAATAACTGTAATCTAGAGGTCTTTGCCTTTCATTTAGGCCACTTCTGATACCAAATGATCACCTAGTAGTCAAGTCATTATTTGTTGTTCCTAAAACTTGGATAGGTGACAAGACTTTTGTCAGGAAGATATGAAGAGTCCAGATGCAAAAACCAGCTGCCTGAAATTTTCATCTAAAATTAGCATATTGTCAGACTCTTACAGTATGTGTAGATTTAGTAATTTTACTTTTTTGGCAAATAATAGATTATTTCCATTGCCTTTAACATGAAACTAAAAATAAACATAGTAGGCTAAAAATGTTAATTTTAGAAGAAAATTTTAAGGCACTTAGAGCAGGGGTGGCCAACCCTGTTTCTGGAGAGCCACCTTCCAGCAGATTTCAGTTGCTACCCATATCAAACACACCTGAACCAATTAATTAGGACCTGAACACCACATGATAATTACAGGCAGGTGTGTTTGATATGGGTTGCAACTGAAATCTGCAGGAAGGTGGCTCTCCAGGAACAGGGTTGGCCACCCCTGACTTAGAGGTTGCATCTTAACTGTTGATCTGAACTCTTCATAAACACAGACACACATACAAATATATACAAATGAGAATGGACTAAGTAAGATAATAAATGGTTTGTCATGTGGTAAAGGATTTTTATGCTCTTTCCCTTTACATTGTGCCTTTTAAATCCATTGATTTGAAAATCCCTGCATTCAATAAATCGGCTAATTATGATTTAAGTTTTTCTCTTTTAATGAATCTGCAAAATTGTCAACAATTCTGTGTTTTTCTGTCAATATGAGGTGCTGTGTGTTCATTAATGAAGAAAAAATTGACTTAAATGATTTTAGCAATCGGCTGCAATCTAACAAAGTAAAACGATTATTAGGGGGTCTGAATATATACCCTGTACATATTTGAACTACTTACAAATATATGCAAATACTGTGTGCCATTAAACATTCATGCTGACTCTGTGCATCTGATTATTACTTAGTATATCGTCATCATCTTTTATTAATGCAACTTGTTCAGCATATTAATATATTCATGAAGATGGGCATTAGAAATCCTGCTTGATCTATAAATTACAGGAAATGTTTATGCTGGTTAAAACTGCTTTCTGTCTACAAAACCTTTCTGGTAGCAGAGAATGTGCTCACTTGACCACTTTAAAGAGCCACAGTTGGGCCAAAACCCATTATGAATTGGGAAAGAGCTTACTGAAAGGAACTTATGACACCCCACCGGTTCCTTCTTCTTCAACTGTAAATTTCTCAGTCTTAACCTCAGCGTTATCAGTTCATTTGTGTGGATACAGACACTTCCACAGACGCGCACAGACACACACACACACACACACACACAAACATTAATGTGCCATACCTCGATGTGTTCTCTAAGGTTCCTTTGACCTCATTCATCTGGTCCTTTCCAAAGTAAACCACGGTAAGGTGCACTCGTCCATCTTGCTTCACACACACCTCTCTGTAGACAAGAACAGCAGGAAAAACAAACACACACGCTAAGGTCAGAGCTCAGCTGGACAATCTCCTGCTGTGCCAGCTCAAAATGAACATTTGTGAAACATTTATATTGACTGAAAACTAAGAAAAGAGAAATGAGTGCAAAATATATAGTTCCAAGGCATGCTCTTAATAAAACCAATTCATTATTCATAGCTGAGATATTAATGCCCCGCTATGCTTCAAACTAAATCAACTGCTGGGATCTTCCTTCTAATACAGCTATTTTTTTTCAAGGTACATCTGCTGAATACATTTTGCTGCTGAATAAGAGGCTCAATAAAAAATGTCTATATATATATATATATATATATTAAGGGTGTCACAATCTTCCAAATCCTCGATTCGATTACATTTTCGATTCTAGAGGCACGATTCGATTCGATTTTCGATTATGAACAATTAATTAATTAATGACCAATTAATTATTTGTAGCCTACCGTTTAAACTACCTGACCTGCGTGGTCTTTGTTTTACCCATAAACAAATCATACAGTAAATGAATAAAGGCAAGATACACACATAATTACCACCTGTCAATCACTTTTTCTGCGGGACTCGTGAAAAGGCAGTGATCTGTGTCGTTATAATGGCGTCGGTAAAAAAAGACGCACAACCAACAGGAACCAGCCAACAGTATCTGAGGTGTTCACTAAAATGTCTAAGTACAAGTGAGTGAAAGATTGAAGCAGTCTACTGATCCTCTGACTGCCTGAACCCGCTGTCTCGAGCGGCTGTGTGTGTGCGTCTGTGTCTGTGTGTCTGTGTGTGTGTGTCAGAGGTAGAAAGGAAGGAGAGCTGCTCAGAAATGCTACACGCCACTGTCGATGTCAAATCGTTGTCGTTCTAAAATGCCATTTAAAAACAAAGACAGTGTAAACAGGGCGGGTGCGAGCGGATTTGCAACGGGGGCGGGTGGAGGATCGCGATGCCGGTGTTGTCTATCGGACGAACCGTAAGTAATACGTACATAGCAGAGCTTGCAAAACTGTGTTTTTTTTTGTCGACAACACGGATGTTGTCAACATAACTCACTGGAAATCCAAAATGCTTACACACCGGCGACTTCATTGAAAGAGGAGAGGATTTTAGCTCTGTCGACGAGTCTCCTGCTTCTGCAGTTCAACAAGCACTTCAACAAGCCTGTTTTTTCCCGCTTGGCAAGACAAGCTGACGTGACATGGGGGCGTGGCAGCATCGACGATTCTATTTTTTGATTCGATAATCGAAATTGAGCATAAATTTAGATCGATTTCGATTAAAAATCGAAATCATGACACCCCTAATATATATATATATATATTCATTTTTTTTCTGCTTAGTCCCTTTATTAATCCAGGGATGAGAAGCGGAATGAGCTGCCAACTTATCCAGCATATCCTGCGTTTTACGCAGCGGATGCCCTAACAGCTGCAACCAATCTCTGGTAAACATCCATACACACTCATTCACACTCATACACTACGGACAATTTGGCCGACCCAATTCACCTGTACCGCATGTCTTTGGACTGTGGGGGAAACCGGAGCACCCAGAGGAAACCCACACGAGCGCGTGGAGAACATGCAAACTCCACATAGAAACGCCAACTTAACTAGCCGAGGCTCGAACCAGCGACCTTCTTGTTGTGAGGCGACAGCACTACCTATAAATTTTCAAAGGCTTTTGAAGGCAAGTGTATCTGTCTGCGGTTTACAAAAGAGAGGCATAACATGAAGTAGTACGTTAGAGGCGTAACTTGCAGTTATCAAGATCTTATTGAACCATGCGAGACGTAATAACTGTGGTTGTTGGGTTTAGGGTTGTGTAGACGTTAATAACTATGTCGGTTGGGTTTAGGTGTGGAGTAGGTGTAGATGTTAATAATTGTGATGGGTACAGCATCATCTTGCTGACAAGATAGTTTTCACACATGGGTCTACATAACTTCAAGTTACACCTTTACTACAAGTTACGCCTCTTCATGTTACACCCCTGTCTTGGGCCCGGAGACAGACCCTATTCTTTAAAGTCGAAATATTTAGGATTGAAACTAGGTATTGCGATACAAATTCAAAATATTAGAAAGGTGTTTTTTCACATGACTTCACAGACACAGTTTGCCAGATTGACGGCAAACAGGAGTAGGTATTCCTGACGATTGAGCCTTACACTAAAAGCTAGACAGAACCACATTTTACCAATTCTTTAGCATTGTTTTTCAGATAACCAAGTATGTTCACATAGCATGTTTCTTAAATATCTGTAAACATATTATGGTATTTGTACATCTTAGAAGACTCGATAACATACATACAGTACAAAAAATACGTAACTAAGCTGAAGTAGAGTAAAATTAAATATATTTAAAAATATTACTTAATAAAGTCTAAAAGGTAGATAGCATAATATGAATATTGTAAATTCAAAAATGCATTGCAATAAAAAACTCCAAGATGGAACAAATCTATTGAGTGTTGGCCTTGAGAGACACATGCACCGATACAGATGGTTTCAGATTTTGACAAGACGAGATGACCCTGCGGGGCACGACAAGAGTAACACACAAAGACTGAAGCCCTAGTGTGAAATTCCTGATCTGAAGCAGCCACATTCTGACAGAAGTGTGCCAACTGTTTGGAGACGCTGCTGAACAAGATCTGTGTCCTTTATGCTCAACAGACAATAGAGATTTGGATGTTTAGACTTCAGTTCTGAAGAGCTTAAGAGAATTGTGTGTTATTTGCAGCCTACTGGTTCAGATTTAATTTCATGTCAGAACAAAAAACATAATTTTTCTTTTGCATTTATTGAAAACACATTAAATGCAAGGTTCAAACCTAGATTTCCAACATCAGTGATCCAAAGCGACAAAAGTTACAAAGATTTTATATTCATTCTATTTTTTACATTTTAGTAATAATTGAAAGTATAATTGTTTACTACATTGACGATAATAATAATTGTCAAATTCCAATGATATCTAAAGAATCTTGTGAGCAAAATAGGTTAACGTTTCTCGTGGGTTTATATTAGAGAGTTCCCTCACTTCATGTAGGTAAAATAAACTTCCACCTATTAAGTTAATAAGATTAAACAAGGCATACACTTCATTTTTTAAATAGTTTAGACAAATTAAATATTATTATATTTCCTTGGTTCAGCATTTATCAAGCTGTGCGTTTGTGTGTCTGTGTGTGTGTTTACGTAAGAGCTGCACGTCACAGCAGAGCTTATTATTATTTACAACTCATCCAAATATGGTCAATTATGGACCTTTTGATTCTAGGGGTATTTTGTGGAATAATAAATGAGCATTTAAAACTGTTTATGGAGATTGATTTAAACTTATCTAAAGAATATAAAATCTAGCCAATGGTTACTGGCTCTATGAGAGTAAAAAAAAGACATACAGACAAAACAAAATGAATTTGCAGAAGGCAATATCCTGCTCAATGAATAATTTTATAAATAACAGCGTAATCACTTTACGTCATAAGGCCTAAATGAATCAATCAGGAGCCACAGCTTAATTCTTTCCCTTACTGATTGACTGTCAGTTGACTGCTTCTCATTTCCATTTAATCAAGTAAATATTCAAGACCACAGTTTAAGCTAAAAACAATTGTCAGTGTTCTACTGAAGAAAACAAAGTCATCTGTATATTGGATGACCGGAAAGTGAGTAAATTAACAGCAAATTGTCATTGTATGTCATGTGTCACACTTTTAATGCCTCTTTGACATGCTTTGTCATGAGGAACCGTAACTATTTTATGTTTTGTCTAAAAAAAGTGGCTAATTCGTACAAATTCATACCATTTTATTCACATAAAAATGTGCAAATTTTAAAAGGAGACATGTTAACAAAACCCACCCCTAACCCTAGTCCTCATTAGGTGATGACTGATGAGCAAATCAGACTAAAATGTACAAATGACATCGCACAAATGAATACAAATCAGCCACTAAATAAAAAAGTAATCTCCCTGCCTGAATAGCTAAGACCAGGCTGGAAATGGCTGGAAACCAGCCTGGTTAAAACCCCTCTAAAACCAGGCTGGTCGACCAGCTAAAACCAGCTAACTAGCTTAGGCTGATTTAAGCAGATTTTTTTTTTCAGCAGGGATAAGATTGTGTTAAACATATTTTCATAACACACCTCATAACTCATCTAAACATGAATAAAATATCTATTGGATTCATTTATATCATGACTCAGTGGCAAAACTACACACACAGCACAAAACTAAATGCTATGTTTGCTATGAATGCTACTAAATGCTACGAATTGCTGTAAGATTGCTTTGGACATATTTTCATAACACACTTCATAACTTGGCGTCTAAACAAGAATATATCTACTGCATTAATCTATCACTACTAAATAGTATGAATTATTGTAAGATTGCGTTATTTTGCACTTTTTATGCAAAAAAATTGCATATTTTCATAACACACTTCATAACTTGGCATCTAAACATGAATATAGTATGTAATGGATTCATTTCTATTATGACCGAGTGGCAAAAGTGCAAACACAGCACAAAACTAAATGCTGTGTGCTACAAATGCTATGAATGCTACTAAATGCTACAAATTACTGTAAGATTGCATTGAACATATTTTATAACACACTTCATAAACTGGCATCTAAACATGAATATAATACTGGATTCATTTCTATCATGACTGAGTGGCAAAACTGCACACACAGCACAAAACTAAATGCTATGTTTGCTATGAATGCTACTAAATGCTACAAATTGCTGTAAGACTGTGTTGGACATATTTTCATTACACACTTCATAACTTGGCATCTAAGAATGAAAATAATATCTACTGGATTCATCCATCGTGACTAAGTGGCAAAAACGTACAAACTAAAAGCACAAAACTAAATGCTATGTTTGCTACGAATGCTATGAATGCTACTAAATGCTACGAATTGCTGTAAGATTGCTTTGGACATATTTTCATAACACACTTCATAACTTGGCATCTAAACATGAATATAGTATGTAATGGATTCATTTCTATTATGACTGAGTGGCAAAAGTGCAAACACAGCACAAAACTAAATGCTGTGTGCTACAAATGCTATGAATGCTACTAAATGCTACAAATTACTGTAAGATTGCATTGAACATATTTTATAACACACTTCATAAACTGGCATCTAAACATGAATATGATACTGGATTCATTTCTATCATGACTGAGTGGCAAAACTGCACACACAGCACAAAACTAAATGCAATGTTTGCTATGAATGCTACTAAATGCTACAAATTGCTGTAAGACTGTGTTGGACATATTTTCATTACACACTTCATAACTTGGCATCTAAGAATGAAAATAATATCTACTGGATTCATCTATCATGACTAAGTGACAAAAACGTACAAACTAAAAGCACAAAACTAAATGCTATGTTTGCTACGAATGCTATGAATGCTGCTAAATGCTATGAATTGCTGTAAGATTGCTTTGGACATATTTTCATAGCACACTTCATAACTTAGCGTCTAAACAAGAATATATCTACTGGATTAATCTATCATGACTGAGTGGCAAAACTGCACACACACCACAAATGTAAATGCTATGTTTGCTATGAATGCTACTAAATGCTATGAACTGCTGTAAGACTGTGTTGAACATATGTTCATAACACACTTCATCACTTGGCATCTAAACATGAATATAATATCTACTGGATTCATTTCTATCATGACTGAGTGGCAAAAGTGCACACACAGCACAAAAAAAAGTGCTGTGTTTGTGTTGTGTGTACTACAAGCATTATCTTCTATATGCATCTCTATCATGTTAATGCCACAGCCCATTAGTTTGATGGGGCTGCTGGGATTGAGCTCATTCTGTATGTGAATGTAACTCACAATCCCCTTGTTTGTCCTCTCAAGCCTCCCAAACCAGAATGAGGTCAAAGTGTTTGCTCAACGCCTATTATAAGACTCTTTAAGCACTGCTTGCAGGCACTAATTAAAACAGAAATTAGATGTAAAATAGGAGGTGGAGGGTGACTGAGACAAACTGGTTTGGTAGTTTTCACAAAGAGGGTACAAAATAGCACTCAAAGCTGTTAAGGGAATAGTTGTTTTCTTTAGCATTGACTTTATATCAGGTTATATATGGTTTCAGGTTAGTTCAGGTCAGGTTTTAGGTTAGTTCAAACCTTGCTTTTAGGGATTTTATTATTATCTAGAATCAGAATAAGAATGAGCTTAATTGCCAGGAATTTGTTTTGTGACAGACCTCGGTTAAACGTCTCATCCAAAAGACAGCGCTCACTGAGCAGTATAGAGTCCCCTTCACTGTACTTGGTTCATGACTGACCTACACAGACCACAGGTTGAGGACCTCCTGCTGGCCTCACTAACACCTCTTCCAGCAACAATCTAGCTTTCCCATCCCGGTACTGACCGGGCGCATAACAATATAAACAAGCTATAAACCATAAGTAAACATTACAACTAAAGAGTTCTAAAATACACTACAGATAAATGATGAGAAAGGCAAATAGTAGATGTTAATGGGAAATTTATTCATTCATTCATTCATTTTCTTGTCGGCTTAGTCGCTTTATTAATCTGGGGTCGCCACAGCGGAATGAACCTCCAACTTATCCAGTGGGAAATTTATGCATCAAGTTATAAAAAAAAAAACGGAGAGTATAGTACAGTTGTAAAATGCAATAGATTATTTAGCTTTGGACAGTGTTTTAAATGTTTTGTGGGTTTAAATAAAATAAAATAAAATAAAATAAAATAAAATAAAATAAAAAATAAAAATAAAATAAAATAAAATAAAATAAAATAAAATAAAATAAAATAAAATAAAATTTGTGAGGTTTGGGATGTTTTATTTTTAGTTCAAAATCTTGTTTTTGTTATTGTTTTATTATTATCTAGCAATAAACATTCAACTAACAATTAAATTAGTTACAAGTTAATTTTATTTAATAATGATGGATTGTTTTGTGCTGTGATTAATAAAATAAAATAATAAAATAAAATAAAAATAAAACAATAAAAATAAAATTTATAATAAAAACAAAATAAAACTATATTGCATTATATTTATGAAGAGCGTCACGGTGGCACAGATTGCCTCACAGCAAGAAGGTGGCTGGTTTGAGCTTCAGTTGGCATTTCTGTGTAAAGTTTGCAGGTTCCCCCACACTCCAAAGACATATGGTACAGGTGAATTGAATAAGCTCAATTGTCTGTAGTGTATGTGTGTGAATGCAAGAGTGTATGGGTGTTTCCCAGTGTTGGGTTGAGGCTGGAAGGGCATCTGCTGCATAAAAAATGCTGGATAAGTTGGTAATTCATTCCACTGTGGTGACCCCGGATTAATAAAGAGACGAAAAGAAAATGAATGAGAGAATGAATAATTATGAGGTCTTATAAAGTCTGAAGTGGCTGAAAATCTTTTATATTCTTTGGTGGATTTTCTATTATGCTTGGACAAATTTAATTTATATTTAGTTCAAATTTATTTTAACCTGAGTCAATTAGAAAAATAATCTTGAAACAGTTAAAATATCTCTTTATTTTTTATATTTTTTAAAATTAATTACTTTAATTTTTGATCTAAAATGTCATTTAATCATTTAATTCACAATACATTATCTGTGCCTTTAATTCTTAAAAAATACTGCAACCCCAAACCACATCATTTCTAGGAAGATGAGAATGATAACTTTCTCGGTACTTGGTAGCGGTTGGAAGGGCATCCGTTGTGTAAAACATATGTTAGAGTTGCTGGCGGTTCTATTCGCTGTGGGCGACCCCTGATAAATAAATACTAAGCTGAAGGAAAATGAATGGATGAATGAGGAGAAGAGAATGAATGAGATAACAGAGAGAAGCAGAACGGTTACCTGAAGTTGTGCATGAACTGTCTGAATTTGTCGGCCCTTTGGGACAGCGGCAGCACAATGTTAATGGGCATGTGGCTCGTCTCCACCAACTCGCTCTTTACCTTCATAAGGGGGCCGAAGGGTCTAAACAGAACCAGCCTGCGGAGCTCATGTTTGTGTTCACCACGAAAGGTCAACTCATAGAGAGAGCCCTTGTCCTTCTCAGTGCGCGCAAGCCCTGCAATAAAGAAAACACATCAACTACAGTGAAGAAAAGGAGAGCTTTTCTCTTCAGCACACACACACACACACACAAAGTAATGCAGGATTTCAAGCTCAAGGACAAATACAACAAAGATAAAAACACAGTTGTGCACAGACAGGAGAATGAAGGAAAAAAACACACCTTGAGACCACAAATCTCCTACTGCAAAAATACAGAGGAAATCAGCATTTCATAGCTCTTTATCTCAGATGTTTATGAGCTCTATATTGAAATACTCATTGGAAAAACCCTGGAGTATTACTGGGGGATAATACAAGACTTATGTTTGAAGAGTTCACACTTAGCTGATGATTGATAATAAGGCATGTTTGGCATGCTGTCCTGGGAGAGAGCCCTGAGCTCAGAACTAGGTATCGGCCGGTAAGTTCTGACGGTATGATAATCTTGGATACAAATATCACGATTTCCTGTTTCACTGTATTGTGATTGCTCCTTTAAGATATATTCGTTTTAAATTTCTGGATAAAAAAAACAAAAAAAAAAAAGTTTTCACCTTTTGAACAGTATAGCTGCGTCCCAAATGGCACACTATACACTATGCACTCATGCACTATACTTATGCACTTACACACTCAACAGGGTAGTATATGTGTGTAGTGTCGTCCCAAATGGCACACTAATATTTTTTTACTAAGCGGAAATTCAAACCGTTTCCCTGATGACGTTTGACGGTTGCCAAATCATTGAAGTAAACGGCCGAATTATCAAATAATACCTGCCGTGAGTGTTGCCGCAATCACTATCGGGAGGCGTTATAATCACTCACGTAAAAGAATTTTGCTTTCACCATCCAAAATAAATAAAGTTATTCAACATGTGCGTCCGATAGCTCCGCCCCTTCCGCTACGTAAGCAAACCTGCGGTCGTTGAGTGCGTGAAGTGTCCATCGTTACACACTTAATTTTACCGGCTGAATGAGTGTATCATCCAGGTAATTAAAGTGCACTTATTATTTTTAGAGTTTTCAGTGTGAAAACACACTACTTACACTATTTATACTACAAAATGGCGTAGAATAGTGCATAAGTATGCGATTTGGGACGCAGCTTATGTTTTATTTTGAGCAACATTTAAAATATATTGGAACAGTAAACATGTCAGGCTAAATGAATTATTGACTTCTGCTGTCTTTATTTGTTTCAAAGACAGATTATTATTATTATTATTTATTTATTTTTTTGCAATTTAACACAGCATCTTTAGATATATTTTCTGCTGGAGATATTGTTGTCCTAAAAAACTAAAAGCAAAAAAAAAAAAAGTAAATAAAAAATCGGTTACATACACACATACCTAAGGAACGATATTGCAGAAAATTGTGACGGGTTTAAAACCTTGATGTTTTCAAACCGTGGTATACCTTGAAACGGTTATCATCCTATGCCTACCCAGAACATACTCAAGTCCTCCAGTTTCGTAGGGCGAGAGGAGAGTCTGACCTCAGGTAGGTCTCGAGAACTGCCCTGAGTTCATTCTTTTGGCCTGCTCTTTGATTATCAGAGGTTGTGCTTTGAAGCTTAGTACTAAATGCTCATTTACGGTGCAAATTTGGTTTATTTAATTCCCTTATACCGCATGTCTTTAGATTGTGGGAGAAAACAAGAGTACCCGGTGGAAACCAACACCAGCACAGGGAGAACATGTAAACTCCACACAGTAACGCCGACTGGTCCAGCCGGAACTTGAACTGGTGATGTTCTTGCTATGAGGCAACAGTGCTAACCACTGAGCTACCATGCCACCCTGGATTAAAGGAAAGTGGGGGAGGAGTAGGGGTGGATGGGGGTATTGTTTAAGACAAAAATATCAACAAGGCAAAGCATCATAGCTGGGGCAATTGTCATAACAACATGAAAACAAATATTTTAATTTTGAACAAAAAAAGCCGCTTTCGTACATACAAACAGGCTCTTTTTGAAAATACCGGTAAATTCATCGATATCCAGTAATTTTGCGGTAAGAGAAGTTGTAACATTACAGGTAATATTTTGAAATGCTGCTCTGTGTAAACATAGAAGGTAAACTCTACTCCAGCCAATCAGAACATTCAGACGCATTAACATCCGTGCTGTTTATGACAATAAAAACCTTTGAATATTTTTGCAGACACATTTACCTTCTAGATGTTAGTCAGATAACTATATACTATAATCAAATAATCAAAATATAATCAAAATATTATCGATAAAATGCTTATGATAAACCGCTGTGAGTTTACTGCAAGCCCTGCGTTCAGCTGCGTGGCGCTCGTGCTCCCGGGCTGCTAGCACCGACAAACATACGTACATCTCGACATGCGAAAGGGGTCAATGTCATGTTTAAATTGAAGTTGTTCACAATACTTATCCATCCACAGAATTTGTAATGTAGTCAAGCTTGCAAACATTTAGCTGTGGTTCATGCTTCTGCCTTTGGATATCTCTGGGACAAAAGCAGCTGCATGAATGCTAAATCTTTAAATAAAAGTGAAACCATCAATTAAAGATCCCTATTATGTTTTCAAATATAAGCGCAGCTGTTTAGAGGCCATTTATGGTTAATGAATTTACCTGTATTTTGGAATGGATGTGTGTCTTTTCTGGAAAAATTCTGGAACGTCCCTGCCTGTGTGAACAGCGCTTTTTGAAATTTACAGATAAAGTCCGGAAATGTTCTGGATATTTACTGGTATCACTGAGTGAAAGGTGCTATTGATGAAAAAAGTATACGGACACAAACTGTCCAGCAAAGTAATGCACAAGATGCCGCAAAGTGCAACCATATGGTGCATTTCAGAGGCCAAAAGGCTTTACAAAACAAGTTTTTAAATTGATGTACATTAGAAATTCAGAAGTGGATTTGGACAGCAATTAAATAACCACATGACCTCGGTGTTTGCCAAAAAACAGAAGGTAATTTGGCCGGGGATTTTAACACAGCTTGTGAGACAAAACACAGACATTCTGGATTCAGATTTCCGTAAAATCAAAGACTTCTCCTGTAAATAGTGAAAATCTTTTACGTTCCTCTAAGCAATAGACTTTTCAAAAGACAGTGATGATGTTTTTAATGGTCATCAGCGTCTTAAATCCTAACAAATTTAGATTTTTAATTAAAATATTTGTACACTTTTAAACATTTACTTTGTATTATATTTGATCTTTGCATCAAGTTACCAAAAAACTAGGTACTGCTTATGTGAGGTGTTTTAATGAAGTGTCTATGGGCAGGACAGTACATTTTACATTGTTTTTTCTTCTAGCTTATTGAATAATAGGAACCATTTTTTATTATTTTTTGTCTCTTTTCTTTTAATCAAACAATTATTTGTATTGGTCATGTAAGGGTCATATATTAACTGAACTTCTAATGTTGTGGGTGAGTGCTGTGCATACTAATTAGCATTTTTGCAGAAGTAGATAGATGCGGGTCCAAAATTTAATTCAGCTCTGCAGAAACTTCCTGTCTGAAGAGAGGTGTTAAAACTGAACACAGAACACAGAAAGATGTATACTTTGTTTTTGGGCAGAGAATTCATAGAAAAAGAGGAAGTATGCCGAAGGGGCGGCCAATGGAGGACTGAACAATGACTGACAAGTGACGTTACACCAAAACTCCATCTGTTAAGATCGGTGGTGTATATATGCTGAAGTCAGGAAATGTATGTTAGTTGCGAACCTCTTGAATGTAATTCTTGTATTGCATTGGGGTAATGTAACCCAGAGCTCTGTCATCGAATTATTCATTTGTATCCAATAAATTGTTACGATTTTTGACATTGAAGAAAAACCTCTCCAGACCTTTTCTCTTGAACACGCATGGAATAGAGATAGATATTCCAACAAGCTGAATATTTAAACATTTGTTGAATGTCATGAAAACACTTTGATGGGTTTTTTTCCCTTTCTTATTTGACCAAATCATATTGTGATACTCTGCTATGCACAGCTCTCTTAGTTTACCCAGCTATGATGACTTCTGCTGCAGAGAAATGGAAATGTGAAAAGGATCTATTACAGTTCAAATAGTACTGTAGAAAAAAACGACTGTGCATGTACAGTAAGCAGACTATACAATAATTACAAATGACAGTTATGTTACCAACAGGCTCACTGATTTATTATGTAGCCGATTGATTTCTTCATATAAAGAATGCTTTCATGCCCTTAGCTCAAATCGACACCTCAGGCATTTATTTGGCAGCATAATAAAACACCGACATCTGCTTTATGAAGCCGTGCATGTTTCTGTGCATATAAATGGATCTGTTTTTGAGCAAAATTTGTGCATTTGAATGGGAGATACAGCAGGGGAAAAAAAAGACATTCTTTCTTTGAATAAAAAAGCATATTTTGGTATAAAAAACAGGAAATGTTTCTTATGTGTGCTCTATTGTTTGTCATAGTAGCTTGTTTTTTTGTCAGGTTTGGTTCTTTTCCTGTTGTAGGCTGCAAAAACACTAGAATTAGCAAGAAATATAAAATACAAAACTAATAGTCAAAACCTGCTTGGAACTATTTCAGCTATGTGCTACCCTAAAAATAACTGCACAACTTAGCATGTGCATCAGCTAATCAGAAACAAGCATTCAACAACTTTGGATAACACTTACTATTGGCATATTTTTTTCCTATTGGAATATACAAGCAAATTAAAACTCATTAAGACCACATAAAATGAGCTCATTTTTAAATAAAAACAAACTATTAAGTGGTTTTTGAAAATAAGCTTCAATGCAGAGTGTAAAGCAGGTCGCCCACCAGAAGCGCCGCTCGGCGCCGCTCGGCGCCGCGACACGGCGCGTACATGACAGTTTAAAGTATAGCACACCAGACGCGCACATTCGAATGATATTTAACATGAAACTATTCAGATGGCGCTCTGTGGCGCGGCTGAAAAATGAACTGCGTCCTGAGCCGTCGCCGGGCGCCGCCGACTTGCGGCGCCGGTGTGTGTATCCTGATAGAAACCTA